CGGGGTAGTCGTTTGTTACGACCTAAATCCTCACATCTTCAAAGTTATTTGTGTTGATTGCTTCACACAAATGTAAATCCTAATAAATAAAAAAAAATTGCAGGATGAAACATGTAAATGATTTCTCCTAAATTGAAGCAAACCCGTAAAAATTCTGATGATTTCCCTATCATCATCTACCTTAGGAATATAACCATTTATGTGTAGAGTGCCCAAAGAAATCAAATTCTTCTTCAGATCTGGAATATCTCTAACATCACATAACGTTGTAACTGTGTCATCAAATATTTTAATTCTGACTTCTCCAATACCAATAATATTATAGCATATATCATCACCTAAATAAACCGAGTCAGAATTAGTTGATATGTATGAAGTAAACAACTCTCTGTTAGGTGTTATGTGATAAGAGCATCCTGAATCAAGAATCCATGCATCCGTGAACTGAGTTGATGAAACTGAGAGCATATCTTCATCACTGCAATCTAAATTGTCACTCTGCACCACATTTACAGACTTCGATGATCCATCACATTTCTCCCCAGTTTGCTTCTTGAGCTTTGGACAATCTCTTTTCATATGATCTGGCCCCTTGCATTTGTAACAATGAATTGTCTTTTTGCATTTGGACTTAGATCTAGAATTTCGTCTTCTAGAACCCTCATTCTCTTACTTTCTTCCACGATCCTACTTACCCTTAACATATAAATTGTCGTCATGAGAGTTTTCTCTTGCATTCTGCTTCCGTTGGTTGTGAGCCAACGATGCTGCAGTAATCTCATCAACTTTGATAATTTTTTCCCCATATGTAAGAGTAATCACCAGGTGTTCATAGGAAGAAGGCAGTGAATACAACAAAATCATTGCTCTGTCTTCATCCTCAATACTCACATCAAGTCGTAACAAATATGTGATTATTTGATTGAAGTCATTAAACAATTAACATGCTGTGCTAGATCAAAACCTTCTTGCATCTTCAATCCATACAGCTTTTGCTTCAGATATAATTTAATCATCAGAGATTTAGCCATAAACTGAGTTTCCAATTTTTTTCATACCTCCCCTGAAGATTTTAGATTCATTACGTGATACATAACTTTATCTGTCAGACATAGGCGTATAGTAGCTGTAGCTCGTTGTTGCAATTTTTCTCAATCTTCATCCTCCATGACATCTGGTTTTGCTGCTCGCAAAGCTTTCAAGATTCTTTCCTGAGCCAACAGATCTTTTACTCTTGTTTGTCACAATCTGAAATTACCAGTTCCATCGAACTTCATCACCTCGAATTTTGCACCAGAAATTGTCATTTGAAATTGATCCTACAATAAAAACTTCTGCAAATTCCTTTGCAAATCCTTGCTCAGAATCTTTTCAAAAAATAAAAGGAATGATGGAAAAATTTCCTTAATTAAGTTATCTTAATTTTCTAGAAAAACAATAGATTTTTTTTTAAGAATTGAAATATTTAATTAAATTTCCTTTAATTAAACATTTCATTTAATTAATTAAATTTCAAAAATTTCCTTTAATTAATTGAAATTCAAAAGTTCCTTCCGGACAAGTCGAGAAATCAGATCGCGATCCCTTCTGCGGTAAAAGAAAATTCCCGTATCCCTGCAGCTCCCGCGAACAGCTTCGCGATTCCGTCTCTCGCCTTCTGTGATTCCGAGAGTAGTCTAGTCTGAACGCCTTGCACTCCTAACCGTCGAGCAGATGGTGGCACCCGAGAAACCCCACAGCTCCTTTACAGCATGTTGCGATTCGCCTGTTCCACTGCAAAGTACCGAGTCGCTACAAACTGCCGCAAACAACAAACTGTCTCCTCCTTCCAAAATCTTCTTTGTTTCTGGGCCGTAAAAATTTTTCTTACTTGCCCTAGAACCTCTCTCTAATACCACTTATTGAGAAATTAGGGCAAAAAAAAATAGAAATCGACACAAATCCAGAAGAACACAAATATATTTAACTAGGTTCGGCAAAGATGCCTACGTCATCGGGAGCAGAGTGACGGCTTCCTTTCTATATTCAGAAAAGAGTACAGAATACAGAACATGAGATAACACCTAGGGTTACTTACATATAAGTCTATTTATAACCCTAGATATAACAGTAAAGGAAACCTTGGGTACAATATGTATTACCAAATTACTCATGTACCGCACCCTCAACCCACATAAGGAAACTCCCCTGATTTGGACAGAATCTTCCGCTCTGCTCCGCTCCAACATTTGTCCCTTTATGGTATATGAGTCATATCTAACAGTTTTACGATCTTCTTTGCTTGTTTGTATTCTTGAATTAGCTTTGTATTTTCTTGGAATGTGTTTTTGTCTAAGAATCCAATGGATCACTTAGGCTCTCTAAGACCTAAATTATAAAAATTTTCTACAAAATCCTAATAAAATTTCAATGTTAATTGAAATTTAAGATTAAAAGATTCAGAACTTTTAAAACCTGTTTTTATTTTCCTGTAAGGTCTTCGAGCCTGTTTTAAAATATGTTACATGTATGATCATATCCCAGGTCATATTAATAGAGCCTATATCTTAAGACTTGAATAGATAACTACATCCTTTTGCATGTCCCAAGGAGAAATCCCTGTGTTTCTCCAATCTGACTGGCTCAGCATAGATTTCTACTTAGGTGGTTGTCTAGTGCGCTCAGGGTGTCAGTGGCTTCTCCAACCCAGATGGAGAATAAGTCCTACTGTTAGGAGTGTTTCCAGCTTTGTAGCTAAACCTCCCCTTCTCTTCATTTCCAGCGACATCTTTCTTTTCGGTGGGTATAAGTCTCACCACTCGGAGCTCCACCTAAAAGTCATAGGATAATTTTGTTTCTTTGAACTTAAGGCTACTGAGGTCACTGTGGACGACACAATTCACGGATTGTTGACCGAGGATCTCTGAGCGTGTTGGGTCGACTACCTTCGTGACCAGATAAACTTAACGTCCTAGTGGCTTGGGATGACGGATCTGTGATGCCGCAATTTGGCTACCTCTACCTGTTAGGGATTACTCCTCTCTTTCTTTGACTACTCTCTTTGAGCCCTGTTGCCCCATTTTGACGCTTCATTGATGTCATGGCGTTGGCCCTAATTGTGAATAGGCCACCGCCCATTTGGGATATTGTGATCCGCCCTCTGCCCTTATGGCTTGGTTTGGCCTTAGAAGCATAGTGTGGACCCTATGCAATGACTAAGTTATTTCATAGGCCCCGATCAACCGATAAGTCGCCATTTGTATGGGATCGTGAGAGACTCACTCTCTGTTTATACGGATCAACGTGAGCTTTGATGACATTGGGATGTTCCTGTAAGATAACTGTTATTTGTTCCCCTTTACAATTCGTTATACAAGTGTAAGCAGATTCATTTAATCGAGAGTTTTCATGGTCACCCACCAAGATGTAATTAACCAAAGGGATACGTCTCTTTGGAAGTTAATTTTGACCCCAGAACAAGCAAACAAACTTGAATATCTAGTTGTGGGATTCTTTCGCAGGTCTTCTTCGTGGATATGTTCTAATGCATTTTTAATCAGATCTCGTTTTGAGCATACGCTCTTGGGCTATCATGCAAAGTTTTATTTACGAAAGTTCTCTACGTGTTTTTTTCTCGTTTGTTTTCATTGTTGTATATCCCGTCTTTTCCTATTCATCTCTTCTCTAGATCATTCATATGATCCGGAAGAGAGATTTACTCAAAAAGAAAACTATACGACGATATACAAATTGTAACTCCTTAAAAAATAAAAGAGAAAAAATAACGAAACAAATTAGTCAAGTGCACTTTAATTGGGTATGACTCAGATGAATTTAGGTATAAATTATGTAATTATCAAAATAAAAACTTCATTAGGAACCGGGATGTTACTTTCAATAAAATGAAAATAAGAGCAGTATTTGGGATTTCTTAACTCCCTAGTTTTTTCATATAAAAACTTTGCTGACATATGCTCAAGCAAAATTAAGACAAAAAATGCTCATTTTTCCACCATGAACTTTTAACACGACAATGTTTAAAAAAAATCAGCTACTCTGATTGGGATTTATCAAGTGATTAGAGTTCCAAATAAGTGTCTGATACTTGAAATTCTCCCGCAAAAGAGATTCCACATATAAATTAACTTATAGGCATTTTACCTTAAATGCATGGATACATGAAAGTATTATTGAGAGAGCAATGATAACCGCATTTATGCTGAATTTCACCTCTAACATAAAACAGAATTATTCTCATATTTGGTGCTATTAAATGATGCACCCAAAAAAACACAAAATAAAAACAAACTCAAAGAACAATATCGCAGAAGCTCAAGCTTTCTTTCAGATTTAAAATGACTAAAAAAGAGTGTAATGGACAGAAGGCTGAGCAAAACAGTTGGAAACTATCATTATAAACTTTACTTATCACAACATAAGCACATAATAGAAGTAAATTTCATTCAAAAGGAATATATATTTCAATTATTTATTTAGATAATTCCAAAGTTCAAAACTCTTCCACCAAAATATAACTTTTGATCGCAGATAAGAAGAACTAAACGCCATTAAACAAGGCATAGAATACTCACCTCATCCAACATAGCCAAGAGTTTTGTCATTTTGTTCTGAATCTCCTGCTTCTCTGAAGGCAATAACTCACTGAGAGAATTAGCACCATGTTCTTGATGCTCAGAAGCATTCCCATCAATCCCTGAAGCTCCATTGTTGTCCTTGCAAACAACCATAACTGAACTGTTAACAGTCTTTGTACTGTCAGCTTTCTGCTTTAAGGCCTTCTGAAGACTAACAATTTCATCCAGTAACTGCTGCGCAGCTTTAATGTACTTCGAGTTAAGAATTGTGCTTCTGAAGTTCTCATTTCCATAAATTTCAACGTCTCTTGGATCTGACAGATCCGAGTTCAACACAGAGACAGCTGAAACTGCACGCTGATACTTAAAAGGAGCTGGAATCTGCACGCCTAAACTAAGAGACAATCCTTGAACCTGCCCACTCGACAGAGACTGCTGAAAAGAGAAATTTTGTTCATTCAAAACGCACAATTGTGCTTGAAGATCAATCTGGGGATCATCCGAATCACGAACAAGTTCATCGCCGCCATGAACTTGCATGAATGGCCTCCCATCCCTCCAAGAACTGCAAGAATTTTCACCAAGTTGAGAAGAAGCTGAATCATAAACAGTGATGCAGTTTGGTTGTGGATCTCTGTTCCCAGTAAATGGTTTGGAATATGAGCTGAGCAAGGAGGAGTTAAGATAGACCATGTTGCCAGAAACTGCTGGTTCAGACTTTTCTGCTGGATAAGTAGACATCTTCTTCCTTAATGAGTGGATTCAGGGACAGAAAAGATTGGATGTTGTGGCAATAATCAGCATGAGCAGTTATATGGATTAACCAGTTTGGATGGTTTAATGAGGAACTTGATTCAGAAAGTAAGTGCTGCAACAAGTAGGACAAAGAAAAGAATTCAGTGCTGGCAATAGAAAAAAGGAGGAATTGCCTACATACCACTCAATTCCTATGTACTTGTGTATCTAACACCTAAACTTCAATTCTTAGAAACATACCGCCTTGGCTATATATGAAAATATGTATTTCACCTTCTAAAAGTTAAAATGGCGGTATTCTTTATGCGGTGTTAAAAATTTGAGCGGTATAAATCTAAAAAGCAAAGTTTAGCGGTTAGATATGTAAATACATAAGAATTGTATGGAATGTATGTAAATGCCCAAAGATAAAATTCAGTGAAAGTTGTCATTTTTGTTAAGAAAATAAAATGATACTATTTGTGATTTTACAAAGAATAAGCTTAGCCTTTAGGAGTTGCTTGGTTGCAAAAACTAATTAAGAAGGATTTATAAGATTTATACCACTTCTTGTCATTGTGCCTCTTCTCCTTCATCATTTAAATTATAAATATTGAAAATATCTATTAAATAATTAATATGCTCGAGTCAAATTTAATATCTATCAAGCCAAACAATTTTCAAAATTTAAGCCTTCATTTCAACCAAAGGTTATTCTTTTTTAGCATGCCACACAAGTTTTAAGTATTTACATGTGTAAGTATGAAACCCCATCGAATGTTTGATATTTACATTCATAAAAACTTAGTGTTATAAAAGTATGCATGAACTAGTATTTTTACCATTAGAAAGCCAACAAACAATAGTGATATTTTTGATGTGATGTTAAAGATTTGAGTGTTATGAAAGTTTGGGTGTTAGATGTATAAATATAAAAAAATTATGTGGTAAGTATGTAAAAGACCAATAAAATGAACAGCAAAAATGCAGAAGAAGTTACAATCTCATTGCAATGAAGAAGGCAATGAAGAAGGGTACAGAATTTCAATCATCATACACATAGCCAGAATGTTATCATAAGTTTTCCAAGAACAGTTTTACTATTCATTTTTAACAGATTTTTCTAAACTATGCCTTCAAGCATCGCCAAATATAATTTTAGTAAGAAAGAAGCAGCTTAAAACAACACCATGGATGTGCGAAGCAAGCTCTAACAGGCAATGAAATTAACCAGAAAACTAACAATTCAGCAGAGAAAAACCCCTGATTTTGCGAAGTTCAGGATCGAGCTGCCAAGAATGATGATGAGCTTAGCAAAATACCTAAATTTTGGAACAAATTATCAAAAGCCACAAAAAGGGATATTGCTGCAATCAAAGAGCCTGAAATAACATCTAAAATTTTACCTTCCAGATCACTGTATAGAGCCAAAATACACAAAGAAACCAAAACAACCAGAAGAGATATAACAAAAATAAACAAGAGTGGAAGAAAACCATTTTTATGTCCCTATTCAGAGAGCTAGAGAGAGAGAGAGAGAGAGTGAGACGTGAAGGGGACGATGTGCACCTTGTGGGGAGCAGGAAAGCAGGAACCCTGCTTATCTGCTCACAGGGAACCTCCATGGCTTCATGTTCTAGATTCAATAAACAAAACGGGACCTTTCCATTGGTATTTCAAAAGGCCAAAACAATCAATTTTATTAACAACCCAAAATCCTCTTTTTTTTATATTCTTATGAGAGACTTTTCAGCTTTATTCAATTACCACCTTCTCTTTCTTTATGAAATAATCTCTCTCTCTCTCTCTCTCTCTCTCTCTCTCTCTCATCCAACGGTCGTGACCAAAACAACAATATATTCTGCACGTGAGAAATCTTCTCGGCTACAGAATAAAGTGGTGGAGCTTTTGATATTAAGCAGCTTTATTTTAATTCAAGCCTGAGTTGCTTCTGAAAAAGAGGTTGGTGCGGGTGCAGTTAAGATGGCCTATCTGTCAACAACCGGTTGGTAGACCTAAAACTTGTCTGAAACCTCTCTTTCTTCTAGTTCATTTTGTCTGATATCTTCTAATATCAACCATGGAGGCATGATTTACATAAACACCACAAAATTCCTATGTATTTAGTGAGGAAATGAGAAATGAAACAGGAAAAGAAGAATAGAGAATCGGGAAGAGTTTGCTACTGTTTTTCATTCATTTCTCAATTATGGAGCTTATCGAAATACACTAATACAGGTTTTATATGTATTGAAGTAGAGATAGTTCTGCATATACATCATTACCTGGTTTTCATACGCAGGTGTTAGTTACCAAATCAATATTATTGTACGCTAGGAGTGGCTGGATACATTGGTGGTCTTGTTGCTGTTGCACAAGGTTTGCCTAAAAAAAGTGGCAGAAAATAGGTTCTGAATATTACCCTCTTGCAAGCCCAAAGACTTGAAGCCTGGATTTGAATAGATTGAATCGCTGTTTAGGCAAAGACTTTGTGAAGATATCCGTGTTGATCATGGGTGTGAATGTACTGTAATTGGAGATGACCAGCATAGATGTGTTCACAAAGAAATGTGGTAGTCAAGTTTAATGAGTTTTGTTCATGGGCGGAAGACCGGATTATTGGTATGATAGCCATCTCGGAGATGTTGTCACAAAATAAGGTGGTGGGATGTAGTTTTTTGACACCCAATTCAGCAAGCGGTAGAGCCCTATATTCTGTTTCGAAAGATGAGCACGTCATTGTAGTTTGATTCTTCATTTTCCATGAGATGGGTGTGTCGCACATGAATGTGCAGAAGCCGATGATAGATTTTCGATCGGTTGAGTTTCCAGCTCAGTCGGCATCGAAGTAGGTTTGGAGATTGAGAGGAGCATGGGATATGTGAAGGCCAAATTCGAACATGCCTCTTAGATATCGTAGCAACCATTTGAGAAGTTGGTTGTGATACGCCAAAGAGTTATGTATATGTTGACAAAGTTGATTCACAGCAAGGGTAATGTCTGGTTTAGCTATTGTCAAATATTGGAGAGCTCTGGTACTTTGTCTATAATCTATGGGGTTTACATGGGGCTTGTTTGTGTAAAAGAATCCACTATAGGAATTTTGGTTTTTTCCAACTGCTACAATGCGTTAGTTATGATAAGAAAAAATGTCGTTTCTAATATTTTCGATGGATTTAAGTTCGTAGTTAAAACGCTTGTCGATAATTTCAAAACCAACTGATATTCTGAAGATGTAAATTTACAGAAGATTATTCGACAATTTAATGTCGTAACTTTTCTGGAGAAAAATAGAGTCGTCGGTAATCGTCGGTTCATATAACTGATCGTTCTTCCGTTAATAAGAACAGTGACATACACGTCAGAAAAATGTCACATTCGTAGTTTTTTTAAAACGGGAAAAGCTGTCGGTTAAACGTCATTTTTTATAACCAACGGATCAACTGTTAAAAAAGTGTCGCACTAGTTAGTTTTTTGACACAAGTTAAAACTATTGATTTAGCATCATTTAAGTGTTGTTCTTTTATAACTGACGGGTTAATTGTCGGAAAAACGTCGCTTCTGTCGTTTTTGTGTGACGCACATTAAGCCGTTGATTAGGTGGTTAGGCGTCGATAACAATGTCTGTCGGCTAGTCGTAAGTATTGCCTGCGAATAAGTTTGAAACCGTCGCAAAACCGAAGGTAAGCTGTGGGAAACCAGTAGCAGAAAGGAAAATAAATAAATAAATTATTACTTTCATATTTTCATTAACACACCGACTATCACAATATTGAATGCAAAATTACAAGCATTTATCGAAATAATATAGCTATCAAACAGTAATTTATTCAATCAAATAATGAAATAAATAAAATGCATTTATTCTAAAATATGTACATTACTGTTCACAGAAAAAAATATATGTCCAAATGTACAAACATAAAAAAAGAAAAAACCCCTCATAATCATCCTCCTCTATCTCGTTAACGTCATCCTTATCATCGTCTGCCGCTTCCTCCTCTTCCAATGTTGTCATTGTCTCGTCACGCTCCCTCATTTGCCGCTGGAAGAAATCCAACCCAGCTTTCAGCTTGGCCTCCATATTAGCCTCCATCTACGACCTCATCTACGAGAAGCTGGCCTCCATCTCGGCAGAGAATGCCGCAACAAGTCTGGAGAACTCCTCATCTTTTGCGGTAGAGGTAGAAGTTGCAGATGCACTGGTGGAGGGGTGAGCGTTGTGGGCAACCCTCTGCGACTCGAGCTCGTAAACTCGACCATTCTTCTTCCTCCACCAACCTCCCTCCATAGTTCGTAATCGGACGGATCATGCTCGTGGATTGTAATACCTCCTGACGTCTGCGATTTGCTTTACTTTAGCTGATGCAATCTCTCCTACAAACAAAGAAAGTTACATTCAATTAGAGCTAACATGTATTAATATCAAATTAGTTCAACTCATCAATTTTCTGGGATCTGTCATCATTCCAGGACTGGTCAAACCGTGACTTACGGGTGTGACCATGTACGTCGGTGGAGGGCCCTCAACCGTCCTCATAGAGGCCATAAAACAAAATTGTTAGAATACATGTTCGAACTACATAAAACTTTATAAAATAAATGAAATCTTACATGCTTCCGCTTGTATTACGTATGTGGAAGCGCCCCACTAGTGTGCTTGGAGGGCCCCGTGCATCCACAGTCTGACCGCCTGTTCTATTTTATTTGCTCCATTTTCTTCTGGTTACCTAGAGAATCTCAGGCCCTAAGCAGCATGCCAATTCCAAAGAATATTATTCCTTTTTTAGAAACTTCTATTTTTTTTCATGTTATAGAAGCTTTTCTTTTCTTTCTTTTTTCGAAAACTCAACTTTCCCATAACAATTTGGAAATCTCCTTTTCCTGAACTTTGTAGTAATTTGCCGTAGTTTTCCTTTTATTGTTTTGAAATCTTTTCCTTCCTAAATTTTTCTTAAGCTTTCCTTCCATGAAATGTTATCCAAAGCTCATTTTTTTTGTGAATATCCGAACTTAGGACTGATTGTCTAGTTGAAAATTTTGAAAAACTACGCGAGACTTGTTCTCTTTGGAAGGGAAGAGCTACGTAGGTAACCTTCTTGGTACTGCTAATATGAAATTTAGATCTCGTTTGGTCATATCTCTCTTATCTTGAAGTAAGAGATAAGGTGGAGATTGTTGTATTTTATGATTTTTTTTTTAAATAGGGGCAATTTTGCTTTTTGGCTTTATGTACTTGTATGTTACGTTCCTTTTCTATAAAAGGGACTTACGACTTATGAGAGAATTGCGGTGAGAAGTGTGAGTTGTAACATCTAGCATTTCTTCTTTCTCTCATATGGTGCTAGTGAAATCTCTCATCTCGTGAACGCAGGCTGATCAACTTAATGTTGAACCACGTAAATCTTTCGTGTTTGATTGTTGTTGTTTGAATTTCATCATTTCAGCATTAATTTTGCACTAAGTCCACGAGAGTGAGATTTTACGGGCACCAAATGGGACATAGAAAAAGGCTATGGGTTACAACTCACGCTTCTCACCATTCACCCATGAATTTCTCATAAGTCCTAGATTCATTTTTATAGAAGAATAATGACATACAAGAAAATAAAATAAAAGACCAAATTACCCCGAATTGCAATAAAGGCCATAAATAAAACTTACTTAACATACCCTCAATTATTATGTATTTCTATATTTAACACCTAAACTTTAATTTTTACAAATGCCGACTTACCATGTATGAAAATGGCGCACTTCACTTTTAAAAGTTAAAAAAGTAATATTTTTGATATGATATGAAAGATATTAGTATAAATGTAAAAACTAAAATTTAGGTGCTAGATATGTAAACACATAGGAAATGGGTGGTATATATGTAAATGCAACAAAAATAAAATTTTAAAAAAATTCAATCTGTACACACATTCATATTCAGTCAAAAAAATAAATGTTGATGCACAAGTTGAATGTGGAATATATTTAAGCTGCCCAACTCTTAGATTACCTTGCTGGTTGCATGAATTTGAATTTGTACCCACCATTGATAAAGCCTCGAATCACCCAAATTCAACTTAAATCAGTGAAAATAACTCAAATGTCCACTCCCCTCCAGCACCAAGTCATCTACGATGACCCAAGAGGGACCCTTGGGTTGACCAGTAGGTGTGATTTTCTAGTTAGAAAAGTCTAAATAAACAAATCAGTTAGAACTCTTAAAAGAAGCTCGAGTTTAAGCTCAAATTCAATTAATTAATTAAACTCGGCCTCAAGCTTAGGGGGTGTAAGTTAGTCAAACAGACTCGTGAGTCTGCACGGGCTCAACTCAATAGTTGGCTCGTGAACTAAGCTAAATGAGCTTGCAAGCCAAGCCCAAGTCAGCCCTGACCCGACTCTCTGACTTGTGAGACAGCTGTTTTAAAAATAATTAATAAAAAATATATACTTAAAAAATAGTAAAATTAAGAAAATAATTATTAAAAAATATATAAATTAATATTTTACATTTTATGTCAAATGATTCATTAGTTATCTTCTAAATGCTCATTCTATTTATCATTTAATTATTACATTAACTTAAATTAACTTTTTCATGCTAAACATTTCTGTGAGCTTGAACTCGTAAAATTAAGCTCGAACTTGAGCTTAAGTAATCAAGCTCAAACTCAACTCGGCTCGTTTACACCCTTACTCGAGCTCAACTGAACGCATTTATATCTCTAAACCCAGACCAAGATATCCAGCCTTTCTACAACCAGATGACAAATGTTAAGATTTAATAATTACTTTAATTTTAAATTTAAATAAAACAAAAAAATAAAAATCTATAAACACATTTTCATCCCAGTCAAATTGATTAAATCTTCACATGAAGCTAAACCAATTTATAAAAGTGAATCAAAGTTGAGCCAGATTGAACTAAGCCTAACTCTGCCACAGCCATATAATCATATCAGCTGAGACCCCATTCCTGACAGAAACAAGAATGTAATCATATTATCTCAATAAACCTCAACATGCCATTGCTTCTTCTTCTTCAGAACACCAAGCTTTTCTTCCCAACTCTCTCCCCTCTGCTCTGCAACTCTCCTCAATGTCTCCTGTATGCCAGGCATCATGCCCTTCAACCCACAGAAGTATATGTGAGCGCCTCCATCTAAAAGCCTGAACACTTCATCGCTGTACTCCTCAATCCTATCCTGCACATACATCTTCCCTCCATTCCTGTTCTTCTGCTCCCTGCTCAGAGCTCTAACATACCTGAAAATTTTCCCACCAAAGATCCTGAAACATGGAGGAAAATTGGCCAAACAATGCAGAAAGAGTGACAAATGAGCACCTGAAGTTGTTGGGGTAATCCCGAAGGTAGTTGCCGAATTCCTCATCATAAAGAAGGCTGTCGGAATTTGCGACGCCGAGAAAGAGCCAGGCAAGGCCACGGAATTGAAAGCTGGGCACCGATTCCATAAACATTCGCCGAAGGTAGCCGCGGTAAGGAGCGACTCCAGTTCCAGTAGCTATCATGATATGAGCAGCAGTTGGGTCATCTTCAGGTAATAGCATTACTTTGCCAGAGGGACCTGCAGTATCATTAATTCATTGAAATAAGTACATACCTTGCACAAAATTCTTATGTATTTACATATTTCACAACTAAAATTATTGAGCCATAAATAAACAATATGCTTATAAGAATTTCGAGCCATGAATGAACAATATGCTTATAATTTAAAAGTTTTCAGAACCTGTTTCTGGGATTAATTTATACCTGTGAGCTGAACCTTGTCGCCCGGTTTCGCATCACAAAGAAAATTACTGCAAACACCCTTCTTCGAAGGGTCTTCGTTTCCGGTTTCGGGATCATAGTAAACTGCACGGCGAACACATAAACTGGCTGTCTTGCCGTCAAATGAGTCCCCATACCTGGTCGATGCAATTGAGTACAACCGCACGTTGTGAGGAGATCCAGGCTTTTTTGGGTTCTCACCCTGCAAAATGTAAAACAATGCATAAAACATAATTAAGATGACTGATTGATAATGTTTTTGAGTGTTAAACAATGTTAGTTTGTTCATCAAGTTGTAATTTTCATCTTGAGCTGAAAAGAGAACAACAATATTGAAATATCTTGAAAACTAATGGAAATCAGTCATGACAGGTCAAACTACTTGTTTTAGAAAAGAGTGGTGGTGTTAATAAGAACATAATTTCTAGCCAATAAATTTAACTCATCCAGAACTCAATGAGAATGAATGGAACGGGATTCATAAAGCCAACCATAGAAGTTCGAGCTTAGGCAGAAGATAATGATAAAAGTTAGAATTCTAAAAGGCAAACATAGTTGAATTGCAAATATGGTAAAGAAGTTAACTTTCAAAATAAAAATAACACACAAGGACAACACAATGGATGATGTTGGGCATGCACATAAAAATGAAGATTACTTCATTCCCATCTTAATCTAATTTTATTTTGAATTATTATTGCACTTCTTGCAAGAGTTAAGTTAGTTGAAAGTGTTGGTAAGAAGTTTGAAAAGTAATTCAATTAAAAGAAGATACTTGCATTATGATTGAAGTTATTTATGATCCTTCCCTTTTATTTATGTGGTCGGCTGTTATAAAATGCATATTCAAATGTAATGATGACACAAGCAATATCCATGATGAAAATTAATGAAATTTCAGTTTCATTCTTGAATTTTCAATTTCAAACTTGATGGCTTGCATTATAAATTGTGAATGGAATGAAAAAGAAACTACTTGCTTTGCCACAAAGTTATGTTGTTCTTTTGGGAACCACCTGAGGTAAGCTTTTTAAAGCTCATCATATCTCGTCCTTCTCCTCTCTACACTATCTGAGCAAAATAAGGATGAGAGAAGGCGGCACGAATTCTTGTTCGCGAGGTTTGAAAGGAAAAAAAATAAAGTTATATATGTTCTATGATACCGAGAAAAAAAAAATTAAACAGGGAGGATTCACAAACCTACCACTCAATTCTTATGTATTTACATATCCAACACTAAAGCTTCAATTTTTACATATATGTTATCTTACCCATGCATGAAAAGGTGTACTTCACTTTTTAAAAGTCAAAATAACGTTAATATTAAGTGATATGAAAGGTTTTGGAATTATAAACGTAAAAGGCAGAGTTCAAGTGTTAGATATGCTAATACATATGAATGGGGTGGTATTTAGGTAAATGCCCCATTAAACAAACCAAAGTTCAGTGTGTTCCAACAAAACACCTTTCCTTATTCTCAGTTATTATTATATGAAAGAAACTATTATATCCAAATAATTGGAAATTGAAAGGCACTTACAGGAGGTATTACACCGTAGCTTTGTCCCTCCCAATATGGGACATTACCTCCATGATCAATCACAATATGGCACGTCTCACCGGGAGCTTTCGGTCCAACAATCCTCTCAACTGAACGAATCGTTGCCGTATAAGGCTCCTTGGTCTTGTAGAGATGGAGAGGCGGCTCCTTAGCATCGTCCAGCTCGAGCGGCCTAACTTCAACTTTCCTTATGTTGGCCTGTTGCACCGACATGCACAATACATTGCATCGGTATTTTGAATAGCCGATCCTGCTTTTAAGGTCCAAGGGCGTGAATGAAATCCATGGCTTATCATGGTCACCTATTTTATTTATGGACTGCATAAAAATCCGCAATAATGAAGTTAGAAATAACCAGAAAAGTTTAGAAAGGAGTGGGAAGGGGTGTGCATTATTTGTTAAAAACTGAAAAACCAAACCAAACAAGTTTGGTTGATTCAGTTCGGTTTCAAAAATGCATTTCAATTTCTAGTTTGGTTCTAAGTTTTATTTAACAAAACAAACTGAAAAACTGAAATTTAATTAAAACTTCTTATTCTATTTTAATTTCAAGTCGAACAAGTGAAAAAACCTAAATTTATATTAAATGCAACATTTGATTGAAATAGATACAAAATTCATGAAATTAAATCAATATTATATAAATAAGATATGTAATCTGTAATGTTTGTATACAAAAAATTTATAATAAAAAATTAAATTTCAGTTTATTCATAAGCGAGCCATTTAAACTTAATTAAATTTTGGTTCAATCGGTTTAATTTTATCAAAATTATGATTGATTTGGTTTTCTGGATTTTGGATTTCAGTTAGAAACAACATGAACAATTTGAAAACTAGTCCATCCAAACATACAAAATGCTCACCCTCAAGGTGCCTGGAGTGTCTTGCCATTAAGGGTGAGCATTTGGTTGGTTTGGATAGTCGGTTTTCAAATTGGCTACAACTGAAATACGAAATCTAAAAAATCAAACCAATCAAAATTTTGATAAAACCAGCTAACCAAATGAAAATTTAAAATTTAATTCTGTTCAAATGGTTTAGTTATGAGCAAACTAAAATTTAGTGGTTAGTTGGAGTTTGATTATGAACAAACATCAACAATTACATATCTTCTATATATAATATCAATTTAAATAGATGAATCCTCCATTTAATTTCAAAATTTCAATTTGTTCAGTTAACTGAAGATTAAAAACAAACCAATAACCGAAAACAGAATAATGATATTTGAAAATCCAACACCGAAATGCATTTTTGAAACCGACCGAATCATGTATTCTCTTCATGAATGACCAAAGTTGCTAAATTTTCAAAACAAACAATAAAAAAGTTCAAAGTGATGGGACGATTTGCAGTTTGATTATGAACAAACACCAACAATTACATATCTTCTATATATAATATCAATTTAAATAGATGAATCCTCCATTTAATTTCAAATTTTCAACTTGTTCAGTTGACTGAAGATTAAAAACAAACCAATAACCGAAAACAGAATAATGATATTTGAAAATCCAACACCGAAATGCATTTTTGAAACCGACCGAATCATGTATTCTCTTCACTAATTTTCAAAACAAACAATAAAAAAGTTCAACGTGATGGGACGATTTGCAGTTTCCAGATGTAGAAGTAGCACAGATCTGCTTAAATTATAGTTAACGCAACATGTCCACAAGAAATGCTCAACAGATACGAATGGGGAAGAAGAGCTCCAATAATGGGAAGAATTGCATTTTCCACATCTAAAGTTAGCCAATAACAGCTTAAAATCTAGTTAATGCTCATACAATGCTAACAAAAAAGATCGGGGAAGAAGAAATTCATAAACCTAACTACAAACAGTGTGCCATAAAACTAATGATAACTTCTAAATTGCATACGTTACCTTCGGTTGCTCTTGTGACAACAAAATCTCTCAAAAAATAAATAACAAACAGTTCCATATGCTCAAAGAAAAATAAGAAGAACAAGAAGAAGAAAGTCTAAGCAATCATAATGAACACAAACAGAACATCAAGATCGCCGCAAATTTCAAATCAAAAGAAAATCAATACCTTGAATCTCGACCTCAGCAGCGATCCATCAGCTTCTGACTGCACCAAAAGAGACGCCTGTAAAGAAAAAAGAAGAGACTTTTCCGATCACAAACATTCCGTAAACCTTGAATTCAATCGAGTGAGAAATCCTCGCGAAACAGAAAGGGAAATAAAGTACAGGAGAGACCTGAACTGCTGAAGAGTACGCCATGATCGCTGAGACTGCTTAGGGTTGAGCTTTGATAGTCTTTTAAAGGTGGGCGAGAGAACCGAAAGCTCGCGAGGGTTGGGAGTTAGGCTGAGGACTAATGAGAAGGGGCAAGATCCTTTCTTTGGCGGAAGGGCCTAAGAAATACAGTAACGGAGAGAAAGACGAGTGTGATTGTTCATTGCTGTAATTATTATTATTATTATTATTATTATTGTCATGAGAACTAAAGCTTAATTATAATTATAAATGAAAATTTATCATGTTTATGTAACTAGTAATATATTTAATGCGGCTCTAAATGGGCTCCTAGCTCATTATATTTGATTTTGAGTCATGTCGACTTTACATTGAATGGGGCTCGATTCGATTTAAAATTGAAACGAGTTGGCTCAAATTTAATTATTTAGAAATCATTTCAGCCCGGAATAAACATGATCTGGCTCAAAATTGAAACTAATTGGCTCAAATTGAGTTGTTTGGATTCTTTCTAGCTCAAAATTGGCTCGAAATGGGCTCTTGACTCCTTTCATTCAGTTTAACTTAACAATATATATACATGATTTTTATAAATTAAAAAAAAAAAACTATGATCCGATCTCGAGTCAGTTCGAACCATCAACGTATAACTGAAAATCGGCTTGAAAATATTTTAATAAAAAGTTTCGGCTCGCTTATTTTGATCCAATCTCAATTCGAGCCAAAATTTGAATCGATTTTCGAGCGATCAATAATTTTCGAGCTAAATTCACAGCCATATCAAAAAAAAAAAAAAAATACCAATTTACAATTTATTACAGTTAATGTTAAGGTTGAAGAGCTATAATAATCGACAGTAATTACATAAAAAAATTCACATGATTTGACGCAAATCTTTATTTATTTTAAATAAGATAATTTATAGAGTAAAATTCGAGATAATTCAATCATCAATTTAGAAAATTTATAATCAATTTGAACATCTCAACGAATACGAACACAATGACATCAAATGTGGTTTGATTAGAGTTTAAATAAACCCAAATCTAATACTTTAAATATAATTGAAAGCTTCAAATTATTAATTTGAAGGACAATGAACTCTAAATTTGACATGCTTAGAATATAATTGGGTGTTTCGACTAGAGAAATCAAAGTAAGTTGAATTGAATCATCGCTGATCACCATCCAACCATGATTTTTATAGCCCAATTGTTGTCATACCATTATTATCCCTAAGATGTTTCACATTACTGCTATCTTTAAGTTTTATTGCCTAACTATTATCAATTACAAGTAAGTATTCGTAATATTGCAATGCTATTGTATTCAATTAGAGATAGTGTATGAACTTTATAACTTCAATTATATAGTGGACTTCTTGATTGGGCTAAGCCTAATGGTATGTTTGTTCTATCTAAAGTTTTTTAAAAGTTCATATTTTCCAAATGTTAAAATAAAAGAATTAAAAATATGTATAAAGGATATTAGGATAAGTAAAATGCATCCAATGTATTTTCTTCGTGGTTTTTTTATATTTTATGTATAATATTTTATCAAAAAATAAGTTTTAAGAATCTTTTGAATTTAGAAGTGTATGACTGAAAAGTGTTCGCACGGATCTAGATGGGATTTGACTGTAGTTGAGATCAGTCGACCACCTCATTTCCTGATTCATCAGCCAACCATCAATTCGTCAACCCACATCAGTCCGTATGTTGACCGCTGCCAGTCGGCTAGATTAAGTCAATTTGCTAACCTCGGTTCGTCTACTACCACGGTTTGTCTGTCTACCTTAGTCCATTTGCCACTATTGTTCGTCTATCGACTTTAGTCCGTCTGCCGTGCTCGATACATCGACCGACCTTCAATCTGTTAGCCGACCTTCAGTCCATCGGTCGACTGCAGTCTGATTGACAACCTTCAATCTGTTTGGCGACCTCAGTTCATCTGCGGACTGCAATCCGTCGGCCAACCGCCTCGCTCGACAGACTCAGATATGCGAATAGGTGTCACCCCTATACAAAAGAGTGCCCATGACATGAAGAGGTGGCAACGAAAATAATTTCTAAGGGCAGCTTGTACTTATACATTTGCCCTTCTATAATCTATAAATATGAATACATTTTATTTAAAAGCATAATTCAGACCATTTTGGCCCTCCCCTCTCTTGTAACATATATTTTTAATATATAAAATGGGTCGAAGAGCCCGAGCAACACTCCCATTTTGTCCCACTAGATACAATTGCTGCGTCGCTCTTCCATCTTCACTCTTTTGCTTTCTCTCTCTCTCAGGGTTTCCTACTATGCTTTGGGCATATACCACAGGATAATTCTAGATCGAACAATAAAGATTAACAAAATGCCGTGCATTTATAGTTAACAAAAAGTATATAATACTTATTTTTGAAATTTTAGAAATTTAATGCATAAAGAGAGTGAACACAATATAATGAAAAAGAGAGGATAATTTTAGCATATAAATCGCATAAATTGGCCTAAATCATTCAATCTAAGACAAAGTTTGTGATTGATTAAAGAAAAATAGTACTAATGATAAAATTAAAAAAAAAAAAAAGATTAAGAAGATTAAGAAAATGATTATATTTGAAGATTATATGGTTAGGAAAAGAATTAAGAGATTGTTCGAGTACTTGAATGAAAGATTTTGGAGCTAGTGCATCATGAAGGGACACACAGAGTACACAAATATAAGTGAAAATAGAAGCAACCAATCAAGCACACAATTTTATTAATGGAGAAAATTTTGGCAACAAGCAAGAAGATGAATAAAAAAAACTCTCCCTTTAATTTTATCTCTGTCTTTCTATTTTATGCTCTAATTCAAAACTCTTCCTTGAGCTGAGACTCATTTAAGTCATTGTTCCTCAAACTGCCCGGGCTCATTCGCCCTGAAGATGGCGGGTACGACACCAACGATATGCACGATTTTAGCGGGAACTAGTTCATCGGGAACGGTTTTGACAACTGCATTTCCTTGCCTCTAAACATGAACTTTTGGTGCAACAAACTCTTTCGGCTCTCTTGCTCGGATTAATTCTTCAACCAAGCTTTGAAGGTGGCGACATTCCTCCGTATCATGTCCATGGTCACGATGATATGCACAATACTTGTTGGGATTTCGTAGGAAGCTCTCATCCTTCATTGGTGAAGGCCTATTAAAGAATTCTTTGTTCTAAATGACCTCTACAATTTTGATATGGATACTCTCAAAGGAGTGATTTATAATGTAGAGAATTAAGGCGCCTTTAATCTCCTTTTTTGCTTTTTTACAATAAGTCTTCGATTGAACTGCTCCAGTTGTTGTTGGAATTGAGGATATATATTGGAGAAATCTCGTCGGTTTTCTTGCTTGAATATATGTTTGGATTAATTCTTCAACCAAGCTTTGAAGGCGCCTTTATTTGGTTGAGATGTGATCATTGTCTAATTTCAGGAGCTCAGGTAAAGTTTTTAGATTTTACGAGCGAATCATATATCAAAATGAGCCCTCACGTAAACCTTATACGTGTGTCGCATGAGTGACGGATGGCTCGAGATTTTTTATGTCGAGCATATTATACTGGAATATGGTTATAAAGCTCGGTAGACATTCAAATGGAGCCTGCCAAATTCTTAACACAACTTGAGAGCTTTTCTTTGGCTTTTGAGCTTTGAAGAATTGAGCTATGAATATGTGCTTGAAATTTCAAAATAAAATAATAACACTTATTAGCAAGTTGTTGAACCAGTGCAGAACTGACTCCTTGAGTGTCGTGAGGAATAAATGACATTTAAGGGTCTCATTTACTCAGCAGACAAACTACTAATTTGAAAGAAGTTACATGATTGATAGAATTAGTTCTTCCTTCGTAAGAATTTATTGATGGGATTTTGAACCTCTTGGTGGTTTAAGAGAATGCATTCTCTAGTAATCTTCTAATTCTTCCCCACCTTCCTCTTTCGTCGTTTTCTATTGACTCCAGTGTCTTTTCTCTAAGAATGTACAACGCATTATCACTATTTTCATCTAGCTCTTCCAATGTTGGATCCAAGGCACTCCTTTCCCTAACTCGAGGCGACTCTTCTCTGAGTGGTTGGTCTCTCTATTGTTTTTGTCTTCACGCCGCCGAACCCCACGATCATGTACAATTTCTCGAATGGTTTTTTGAACGGCTTATGAGCATCTCTTGCTTTACTTCTTCCATCATCTTATTAATTTATTCTTCGAGTTCCTCCATTTGCTACGTAAATACTTCTCTAGCGCGATCCATCATTTTTCTTTGTTTCTCCTTCATATAGAAGTTCTCCTTGATAGATTTTGATAATGAGTTTCCTCATCGCCAAACCTTTTAGGACATTGACTCTTTTTGGAATGTGAGATCTCGTGTGATTCGTGAACTCATACAATCTGAGAGATATCAAAAGAACGAGTGAGAAGAAGCTGTGGGATTTTTATAGAGTTTTTGGAGAGTGTAGGATTGAGAGAGAGAGAGAGAGAGGGGATCCACATCCCCTTTCCTTCTTACTTATATATTCAAGAGCCTATGTATGCGTTCATGGGTTTAGAAAATAAACATAAAACTAGATTATAAACTATATAGGACGAAGTCTGAGCAGGCTCATAGTCAACATGGTTGTTGGTGTTGATTGTCATGTTGTTAGTAAATGACGGTTTGTATTTTAACATATGGGTATTCTCTTCCTTTCTTCCTCAGAGAGTTGATTGTCGAGTTCGGTGGTGTAGCTAGGTAGTTTTCAACGAGTTTGGTGTAGTCATGCAGTTGTCAGCAAGTTTGGTGTAGCCAATACAAATATGAACTAGGAGCTCACGCAATATAGGTTAGTTTGATTAGAAAAGTTCGCTTAAAGATCGAGGTTGGGTAGATCAGTTTTGAGGAACTCGTAAAAATGCTGACATAGTTTGAAAGTATTCGTAAAATCCTTCTAGGCGGAAAGAAGCTTTGCAGTTTATCGCATCCAAAAAGTACGACTAACGACTAAAATCAAGCTGAGTTGGTGGCAAACTATTGAATTTACAACTGATGTAGTAGATGATCTATTAAGCCCATGAAACCCATTTAATATTTAGGAATTTTGTTGCTTAACTCATTTTTCTTAATATAAAATGACGCACTAAAAAATTAAAGTTTAAAATGTCAGATGTGTAAATACATAAATATTATCTCATTCATGTTGGGCGAAATCTAGTGATTTGATTTTTATTTTTCATATTTTTGAGGTTAATTGTTTTTGATCTATCACCATAATATCTCAAATTTTTCAACAAGCAGCATAAAAAATTCAACTTAAATAAACTTATTGCAATTAAATACGTAGCACACATTTTTTATGTATTTATACATCTAACATCCAAACTTTTATTATTCAAAATAACATAAGAAAATTATTATTATTTTTAATTTTTTAAAATAAAATGAAAAATTTATATAAATACAACAAATCTATGTATTTACATACCTAAAATTTAAAACAAAAATATTATAAATGTTTTAAATATTACATATAAATCCATAAAAATTACGTACTCTGTATGTTAATTTCTTAAAAAATAATTACCATGCGGCCACTGGTAGGTAAACTTACTTGGAAGGTGACGCTACTGCGCGTCCTTTTAACCTCGACTCACCCACCGCTTTTTCCTGCTGCGATCCCCTGCTACCTTTTTCCGCTGAACCCCCTCCTTTTACGGAAAATACCAAAGCTAGGCACGCCCAAGGGCTTTCTTTGCCTATTTTTTATTACATTCCGCTCTCATCGGCCATCGCTCTGCTTGCGACCTTCGTGAAACTTACGCTGCGAACCTTCCCAAGAAAAACATTTGCAGCTGGCACCCATGCCGAGGGTCTTCATCTAAATTCTTCGTTTTAAGTTCTTTTTCTCGGTAAGGAGGTTTTTGAGAAAATGGAGAGGAGGCAAGGGTTCTTCTCTGCGCTACGAGAGCTTTCGCCGGCGAGATTTAGGTTAAAGAGCACGAGAATGCCGA